GGAACCTGGCACACCACATTTGGCCGGAATCTGTCTCACGAAGTTTTAAAAAGATATTCGAACAGGAAATGACCTCCTGTAAAAACAAAACACTCACAAAGACTAATCACTTGATAGTAACCAGTGTTTTGACGCCGTGGCTGAAATCAAAATATGACAGCCAGAATAACTAGCTGAACATCGTGTTGCAATTTATTTCAATGTTAATGATTAAAAGGAATTATCATAAAGATCTGTAACTCAAACACAATTTTCAGGTGATTACAATCCAGGACAAAAAGTTAGGAAGATCCATGGAAAACGTAAGAAGAAAGAGAGATGTTATAGCTTCAGATTATCACCTGGTTGTGGTCAAAGTAAAACTGAAGCCAAAAGACACTGGACAAGCTATATTACAAAAGTTCAATACAGCCTTCCTGGATAAATAAATAAATATGACTTGTCAATCATTGAATACGAGAGGCCAGAACAAAGTAGGTCGGAGAATCCTAGTTGAAGATCTATGCTCCACGAGAGGTAAAATGTGTAAGTACAATCATGAATGAAACCTGGTTGCAGAGAACGACATCTATCGTTCCCAACTACCCATTAACACAGAATAATAAAAAATTATTTTGGATTCGCCCACCAATAATACACAGTGATTCTTTTGTTATTCTTGCAACAGAAAAAACCAAAATAAAATCACATGAAGCTTTTTCACTCAAATGAAATTATAGTTGATTAATTCCCGTCAAAAATATACACAAGTCTGTCTCGCTTTCATTACTGTACTTTGAGATTCTTGTTTTCCAAATAATTATTATTACCACTCAGTTAACTTTTTTTACCATTTATGAATATAAATAAATAAATACAAGATTAAATAATAGTGACCGTCAGTACTCAAGGTATATAGTCGTGACTCTATTAGTGGTTAATTTCACGTCTTCAAGCTTAGTATTGTCTATATTTAGGTTCGTCATATTCTTCTCAATTGGACTCGACTTCTTTTTAATTAGCTCCGAGCTTGTTAACAATAATTTCATTTGTATTGGTTTGGGTCATTCTGTTGTTGATATTTTGACTGACAGTTTCAGCTGTCATATGTGTATCTTGTAGGGATAGCTTCGATATTGTTATAACGATACAAATTTATACATAATAAGTGAAATGATTTTGAAATTCGAATCCAGAACGAGTGTTTCATCCTATTTAAGACTCATCAGGTAGATGTACCTCCATCCTAATGTTGGTGTTCGCATCGGGACTCCAGCCCAGCATGTTTGCTTTAAACACCAAGACCTTATCCACTTAGCTACTAAGTTCGGATAGTCACTCACTTATGCAGTGGATATGCATTTACATTTAATTCGTAATGTTATGGACTATCCCGTTGATGCCACCTAGCTAATGATTCACAAGCAGGACTAAAAGCTCATTCTGGGTTCGAATGCTCGCTATTTTCCGTCCATTCTACATAAATTTGTGACATATTTTATCAAATAGCTCTTAAACGAAGACAGTAACAAGCGGAGTATATATTTTCAAGTGCGACACATTGCTACTGCTTTTTTTATATGCGAAACAACTCTACGAATGAATTACCCTCAATTACTTTTACGCTAATGAAAGTTAACCAAAGGTAGAAAAATACATGTAAACATCTATACTACTTAAATGTTGTCAGTAAAATCACCTTAATGGAAAATAATAACTTTTGTGTTCTGCTAGTTGTAGTCAAACTTTGAGTTTAATAAATGATTTTAAGTTTCCGTTGTAAGTGTTTACGTGCTAGCTCTTTTTTGGGTCTTCGATCATTTACAGACTGATAACTTTGCATAATCTATAAAAGGGTGTTTAACAGTCAGTTTGCTGCTCAAAATTGATAAGATATTTTATCGTTGCTAATAAAATGACGAAATCTTATATCTTAACATTATTGACTCCATTTTAATTTACATATGCTCACCTCACGATAACTCTGATTTATATGATAGTTGAACAGTTTCACTGTTGTGCGAATAATTTTCTACAATGTATATTATCAGTAAATTTTGAAAAGTCACATATTTTATTAACTATAACGAAACTTGAGGTCAAATTAACGTTTCATTTGAAATTCCGACGATAATATATTTATCACTCATCCAATGCTACCTGAGATTAGTCTCATTCACCTGGGATAGTGTTACGGTTGTACGAATTTAAAACTAATTACGAACAAATATCGTGTTTGAAATCGTCGCTCCAGTACAGTGACTAAATAACTATTCAAGTTCTAATGACTGCCTAGTAACTGTAATAGTTAATTGTTTCTCATTTGGTGTGATACATTTATATGACCGGTACTATTACAAAATATTTATAAGCGCTTACAAGTTAGTTTGAGTGTTACATTTTATCTAAGCACATAAATTTGTTAAAAAAAACCTGTAGTGGATTTAATAGATCGTTGAAATGTCCTGTTGTGTTGTGTGTAAGCTTAGGAACACTCGATGTTTTAGGGGGCGAATCAACCTGAGTATACAGTAATAGTGAGAGTGAAAGACAATAATTTCATCCGTACTGATTTGTTTAAAGAATTCTTCCCTACTGCATATATTCTGAGAGAAGTTACAATATTAAAAAGCATTAGAAATGTTTTTGTATAATTTCTGTCTCGTTGTTTTTTACTTCCTTTTCCCCTGACTGAAATGTTTTACAAATATATAGATTTCTTAAAAGCTTATGCATATTTTTTGTCATGGACAGTCATCTCATTCTAGCATAGATCTTTCAAGGATACCCAGCCACCAACTCGACAGTGATTGGACTCAGAACCTCTAGGTCTCACTAACAATAGAACATTATTAGTCGCATATAATGTTAAATATTCACGTTTATTGGTTCTGACTATGATTCAGATCGGTGGAAATAAGCGAGGATGTTACTTTTGTATTCGAATATTGCCATTTTTATTTTCAGCTTATAAGGAAATAAAATGAATATTCATTTAAGAATGAATTCCTATTTATCCATGATTTAGTTGAATTCCTATAAAGGGCGAATTCTATGAATTAAACTGACTATAATATTTGGTATTCACAACTAAAATATTGCTTCTTTAATACAGTTATTTTATATCTTACAGATTAACTTTCAGCAAATAGCCTTTAGCAATAAAGAATCATACTAATAAAAAATATTTTGGAAGGATATTGCTTTAATTTGCCTAACACAGACAATAATCTCCATCGATAATTAAACCACCCAATTACATTCTACTTTGTTTATCGAACAATCAAAATTTAGTAACGGTAAATAATCCTCTCAAATAGACAATTCAATAGGCACTCAACAATTGGTACTCACGTCATCTATTTTACTAAACTAAACTAACCAAACGTATCTAGTTCAACAATGAAGCTATTTTGATAATTCACTGTGTATCCCCACTATTAGCACACACTATCTTGTAGTCAACTAACCAATCTAACTTTCAACTGTTTCTATTCTCAAAAAAATACACTATTATCATCAAGTCAGTATTGTCTTGTAATTTGTAGTGTTATGAATGGACGAACATTATAAAAGTTAGGACTTTTGAAACTGGTTTTCGAATTATTAGCATTTACATTTTTGTTTTATAGTTACCAAGTAACTAACTGGATTACTATGCCTACATTTTCTGGTTTTCATAAGCTTCCGTTTAATCTATTAACTGTTATTAGACTACTTATTATTCCATTTTTTATTGCTAATCGATTTTCTACAGCTTGCATTATTCGCAATCACTTTTAGCTTGTTGATGTATAATTGTGGTTTTTCATTATACGGCTCTATGTAGTCCAGTATTCGGAACTTGCTTAGTCGTAATTTTCAGTTTAAGTGCACCCAAACAAGAACAATCAATTTGATCTTTATACAATTTAGAAAAGACAGTAGTAATACAATCATTAATTTACGCATGATGGATGTTTCAAATATTTATTTCTTGAATTCAGCATTTGGACATGTTTCGTACAGATAAACATGCAGAAGGATGTAATGCACCTTTTTTCGAAAAAAACTTTACATGTACAAACTAAAGAATCGATGAAAATAATCAAAGTTGTGTGGAGTGTAGAAATCAAACACAGTAAGTTCCACATATAAGAAAGACATTTTTTACTTATAGACAAAATAATACAACCAGCCGATCAACTCGCATACCAATGAAGACATATATAAGTCTACGTTTTCTTGTTTGTTTTTGATTTCTATTAAACTACCATGTTGATATTTCGTAGAATAAAAACTTGCTTACTTTTTGTATTGAAAATACCCTAGTACTGAACGAATTTTCAAATAAGCAGCTCTACCCAATTTGACAGAATAGTTATAAACATGGAAGTAGAGCATTGAACAAAGGATAAATGTCAAACTGTACAAATGCACGAATATAAATGGTCGCAAACTATAGTATAATTAACTGTAAATTTATGTTCATATATATTCCCAGTAGTTGTTTTTTTTTGGGCTGAAAAAGTGAGTCATACTTACTAAGCTACATACTCCGGCAGATATTTCAAGACATTGGTAAGTGCAGACCATATGTACACTTAATGAGTTCAGGGAATACGTACAAAAAAGTTTATGTAACTCAAAAAATTGATTGTTTCCATCCATCATTTTCACTGAAGGGATATTAAGAGACCCTACTAATAACTGACCACATTATGATAAGATATTCCTACAATACCTCAAAATACCAATGAATCTTGTAACTGTATTTAAAACAATGAAGATTTGAGTACAGGGACAATATACGAAATATATCTACTCACAACTGATTAAATAAGTTTTTTTAATATGGATGTAATAAAATCCGATAATATCACTGCCAACTTCCATTGAACAACACATAGAACTGAACATTCTAGCGTTTAGAGTAGGCTAGTCCTGTCAAAGTACACATAAACATGTTATTAGGTAGTTTGAGCAATTATCATTTACAAAAAGCAACTTTATACCAGAATTAAAATTAACAACGATAATTTACTATCGAAATTTATAGATTTTATTTTGCCATCAACTTTAGACAAAAGTCAAACTGGAAAGAGTAAAGCAGTTATATACACGCACATACAGTAGGAAAGTTAATTTCGACCAAAACAAAAGAAAATTAATTATGAGGAGAAGGGAATGTGTTATAAACTGACTGAATGTAAACGATAATATACTATAAGTAATAACAACAACTGAAACATCATAAAAAGAGTAGCAAACAATTGGTGTTGAATTTTCCTCCTTCCCCCCCCAAAAAAAAACATCTATTATCAATGATACTGTAATTTAGTAGGATATAATTTTATTAAGAATATATCTTTTTTTAATTATTGCACACACGAAAAACTCGGTGATCATATCACACAAAAGTTGGTTAGATAACAACATTTACTGTATAAATAATAAATAAAAAACACTGATCATTAACAAAGAAAATTAAATATATGTCATAATTATGTATATAAAAACTGAATGTGTTATACATACAGGTCACATATTGAAAAAACACAACGATAGACTGGAATCGGGCGCAAACAAGCCTCTATAAGAAGATAACTGGTTTACAAAATCAAAATACATATAGGAAAAAGAAATGCAGTGTTTTACAAAGGACTAGATGTATGAAAATTTTCAATACTACTAATCAATATTGATGATTAGTATAGAGGCAAATGACTAAAAGAAAATAGAGATTTTAATTTTACAATGAACTTTTGAGTGTGATATACATATCAAATACAAATGCATTAAAAAAGGAATTACTTGGGCTATAACTACATTTTAACTTCTGGTTGAATATGTTTTTGATTCTTTTTCCTGTAATACAGAATTGTCTTGGAAATTTTTGCAAGTACCTTCATGATTGTTAGAACATGATGGACTGTTAGACTGATTTTTCAATGATTCGGGTTCTGAAACAGAATAAGGCGTAGTGCTGTGGGGACTAACAGAAGCTATGGAATCTTTATACCAGTTTGGAAAGGGTGTTCGTGGCATAAGCTCTGAATAAAATAGAATATAGGCCTGAGCCGATGCTACTTCTGAGAAATCGCATAAAGATACATTAGCATCATTGCAATGCAACCAACACTCTGTAGAGTAGAAAATATGCAAGATATAAATAGTCATTGAATATTAAATGTCAGCTTTATATATATATATATATATATATATATATATATATATATAATAGGTCTATTTACGAATTTATACTGAAATTTTTGGGCGAATAGTCAAAGAAAATATATTAAAATTAAAAAGTAATCAAAAAGTAGTTGATGATATGAACCAACCTGGATTATCATTCAAACAGTAAGAAGTATAATGACCAGACTGAAATCCTCGCCCATGATGCACGACAACACCGGTCAAATGATAAAGATACTTCAGTGAACTTTTCTCAAACTCTTTTGGCAAAGTGAATATGGACGACTGATGACAGTGTGAGTTATCTATAGAGGCTTTAGGTTCATCTATATGATCAGATTTTGTCTGGTGTAAATGAGGCTGATGACATTCTGCTCTGTCTACATCATTTAACACAAATTCACTCATATTCAAAATAAGAGGAAATGATACGTGACATGTTAGTTTTTCTCTTTGTCTACCAACCCAACTGAAAAAATATAATCAAAAAATATGTGATTAAACAATGTAAAGTTTAGTACAGAGATTATTTATGCACTTAATATAACATTACCATCATAAAGTGAGTTCAACTTGGACTAATGGATGTTTATAATAGGTTCACCATTGATTATCACTGATTGAATGTAAATCTCCTCAGAGAAAGTACATAAAATACCTTTGAGTCCAAATTGGAGCTATTGTCGATATTTCAGTGGACGCGAACACAAGTGCGGGACAACCAAATGTTTTTGAACACAAAATTACAGAATTTCTTGGTAAAATCTGAGAACCATATAGTAAATATTTCATTTGCAAAATGTCGATCAATTGTCTCAGACTTGACGGTTCCTTGGTTTCCACACCAAGCACTCTATGTTCTCGTTCTCTTCTCATCGATCTTCTTAACCATCTGCTGCAAGGCATTTCACTTCAGATTGGTGATACATACTGCTTATATCTGTCGACATCAGTAGCACATATCACACTATTACCGCAATTGTTTTTTTTATTGTAGTGTTTTGGAGTGGAATAACAGCTTAAACAGATGTAAAATCTCTTTCATATTCTACGTTATTTCCGTTTATTTGTTTGCTTCTATTGAAAATACATCTGAAACAATAACAGAGAGGTCATATTTTCACTACTCTAAAAATAACTAAATGTAAGTATGGAATTTCCTGAAATGGTTGTCCTAATACTTCCTGACTTCTTAACACAAATGATGGATATTAAATCTCTCTTAATCGATATACCATTGAAGGCTGCTTGACGATTAAGTTACCGTTATTCAATATTACAGCTACCGCTACTGCAAACAGTTGATATTCCTTAACGCTACCCTTCTTAGTTACGATGGTATGACTAGAAAAATGTACTTGATTCAAAACATGAACACCTGAAACAAAATAACCAATGATGACGATACATAGTTTAGTATTGTATTGAGGTGTTTCACTATTCTGTAGTATTCTTTGGTAAGAATCCTTATGAAGGAAAGATCTGTTAGTTTAAGCATTCAAAATAATAGAAAAGTAAAAGAACTGGTGCACAGTTCCATTACAAACTATGCTTTTTCCGTAGATCAAGTTTCATCTTAAAGAATTACAGTGATTATATCTGATGTTCACTAGCATGAATCGATTTTATTCGATAATGAACGAACCAATTCATATGTGCATTTCTAAAATGAAAGGTGAACTCAACGGCTATAGTGGAGTCAACTACGATGACGATGATGAAGAAAATGATTCAAAAAGTTACTTAAAATATATATACTAAAAGACATACCGGAATCGTTTAATATGTAACCGCAAAACTCGTGGGAGTTTAGAAAGGCGAATCGTTTGGGTTGCATGAGTTAATAATGAGTTCTTAGGAAGAGGAGTTGCAGAATTCTTAGGTGAAGTGATGATTGGGGATTGAACAACGGATGACTGAGTAATTTGGAATGATCTTTCAATCGGTGGATTAGTGTATTGTTCTTCAAGACCAGTTACACTTGAAGTAGCGGATAATGGACTTTCTGACAGTGAAAAAGTTTCAGTTAACTCGCATGATGTACTGAAATCAGGGTAAGATAACTGAGGACTACAAGATGGAGATGCGAGCCTGGACAGAGCGATAGATATAAGTTTATTCACTACAAAGTTAGGAAAAAACATCAAAGATATAGTCAAATGATTGAGATAAACGTCATAAAATAAAAAAAGACAACCAAATTATCTTTCAACGTAAAACTGACAGGTACACAAATCAGGATTATAACCAGCAATCATTTTTTATTTTCAATGACAATCAACATCACAAGATTCATGTTAAACTCCTTGTGAAATGGAATGCATTGGTAAAACTATGTTCAAACATTTCAGATTAGTAAGCATTCAGAGTATCTAACCTAAAATTTTTGGTTTGTAACATGCGAAAAAATTTTTCTTACAGAAACAACTCTAATACTTCTGCTATCATTCATCCTATCTGAACTAACGTTTGACCTATATCTAATTAAAAACCCTGCTACGTAGAACTATCTCATATTTTTTTAAAGACTACCTCCAGTGGATATGTCTATGATTTTCAGACCTACAGGCAACTGGAGCGAAACTCCCAAAAGTAATACAATACCTGAGAAACGGTTTGCGACACTTTATAGAAGTTATATACCTCCCATAAATTTGACAGCAAGAAAGCCATGTCTATGAAGGATAGAAATTTCAAGTTTTGTGATCACGTTTGAAAACCAACTGAGAAAGTAAATAAGTCAGTTCATGCGATGCATATAGCTGAGAACAAACAAGTGACATACATGTGATTTAATACTGACAGCTACTAAATAAGTAATATTAAAAGTCACTGTCTGCCAACTAACCTTACGTATTATGTAGGCCTATAATCCATATTACTGATGAAAATTTTACTGGTATTCAGATATAAGAGAACACATTTAGAAAAATTTACCATGTAATATGCTCGTTGAAAAATGTCACATTTCGGGTACCTTGTATTACGAAGAAACGAAAATATAAGACTACATAGTCCTGTGTATATTATTCCACTTGACTATATGGTATGGATATGTAAGAGCGATAATTCATACTTTTTTGTATTTGCCAACATTAACGACGGAATTAATTCGAAACAAAAGAAAATCAAAAGTAGAAATAAATCTAACGAAACATACCAGGATAAGACAAATTGCCTAAATGATCATTTGAATCATAACTGCACTGATTGAGTGCCGGTCCCGTGAAATCTGTTTCTTCTTTATTTATTTCTGAACACTGATTGCATTTAACACAGGCATAACTGGCTCCATCAATTGGAGAGGGGCTAACAAACTGACGAAGCAAATCTACTATATCAAATGTACACGACTCATCGGAATGGCATTTGGTGGGTAGTGAAAGACTAAGTTCATAAATCGGCTCTTCAGTACAAGCGGTTACATGACAAGTAGAGCATTGTATATGACTCACGGAATATCCACGGAAAGCGCGAGTGATAAAATCACAACCACTAACAGAGACAGACATTGGAACACCATGTAGTTCTGCTTGCAAACGGTCAAGTAACAAACTCAAAAATTCCTGGGCATCCTGTTGCTTATATCCTTTAAATGTTGGAAGGGTGGCCCAAACAACACTTAAGAGGTTACTTGGACTGACAATAGACCTTTGACCTGACCATAATAGCTTAAATAAATTATGTATTTCTTCATAAAGAGAAGGTATTGATGATACTTGCGGGTTAACTAGCGATGACGAAGGTGATTGCTGATAACAGTCATACAAAAACTTCGGACACTGGCCGCCATTTAAACCACCGAAGGATTTGCACTTAGGAATGATATTCTTTCTTACAGAAATTAAATTTGGATCACAACAAGGACCAAAACTATTTTCTGTATTTGGGGAACATGAGGGTGTCTTGGTAGGTAGTGAACTCCATAAATTTTCATAGTTGTGAGTTATCATTTGGTTTTTCGAAAGTAATGATGTCATTGCTTGTCGCTTGACAGGACACACTGGGTCTCCAATCGATAAATCATCAAGGTGGCTGCGGCGTTTCCTTGAATGAGAATTAATTTCACTCAACGTATGGTTCATGATATAATTGGCGAAAGGAGCAGTGTGACTAAAATCAAGTTTATTAACAACTACGAAATCGTGTTACCGTAAAATCTGCAGTATTGAATTCATGTAACAGGTGTTTCCCAAGTTGCGCAAACCTGTAAATGCAGGAGTTAGGGTCAGTGGTATCTTTCTGTTTTTTGTCTTTTTCTTGGGGTTAACTGCGTAAAGCTAATAACTTTATATATAGCTGACTAGTAATGACTTACTCTCAACTCAGCGTACCTTGACCACCAAAGATGTAATGCCCATGAAAGACAAGAAATTCTTGAAACTTGTTGATTTATAAGAAGTGTTACCTGTTTCGGACAACTGCAGTTTGTATATCATCTGCCTTTAACAGACGTAAACCGTTCCTGAGTAACTGTAAAAAATAGAGTGGCATTCTTACTTTTCAGCGTCTTTACCACGAAACCTAAGAATTCGTCTGCCTTTTTTTTGTTTGAGAAGCTTGCCGAAATCTTGAGTAGTGACTGCATCCAAAGCCATGCGGAGAAGTTTAATATCACCCGGAGCGTTATCATTGAGAACAAAATCATCACATATATAACTTAATATCAAACGGTTAGAAGAAACAGTACTTACCAGTATACAAATTTTTCATTCACTTCTATGCACAAAGGATGCTACTCTTCAATAAAATAGTGAAGTAGAAAACTTACATTTGTTTGTTGAAAGTGTTGCAACGCATGCTCAGAAATATAACGACCACATGCGAAGTTGCTACATGACAGACAGGCCCAAACACTTTCTGTTGTATGGCATTTGCTGCAATGCCAGTGTTCGGGGGAGAGTATTCCTAACTGGATGCTTGTCTTTACTTTGAGGACGTGTTTGCAATTATCCGTCATGAAAACTTGACATCATAAGCAATATAGAAAACGAACTGTGTAAGATATACGTGTACATATCGCGAATGTGGATAAACAATATCTAACTACAGTCTAAAACACAAATATTGTCCTAACATTGAGGAAACCATTTCTGTATCTTGGGTATGCGACAGTCTATTTCATACTTTGGCTTAAGAAATATTTCCGTAGGTAACTTAATATCATCCAGCTGAATAAAATATTCAGATTATGGAGATTTTCACACGAGATAACAGCCCTGAACATATTTTGCGATCTCTCAGCCAGTTATATGCAACGTAGAACATGGAATATATGTATATTGATTCAAGTTCCCACACCAAATTACTACAATAAGATAGGATTGTCAAGATGAATTTTAAGATAATTTAGAAACTTTATATTTAAGATAGAGCGTGGATGAAATTGCATTACTGTGGACGATTCCGAGCCATGTCACCTAAAGTCTCCAACTATATTTATATCGCACTGGTTATTTGGATCTTCTCATTGATGCTTAGAACTGTAATTGATCTTTCTCCTATTGGCATATACGTATTCTGTACCGCTTACCTCAATATTGCCATAATTCCTAAACGAGAGATAAATTAAGCGTTATCATTGCATAAGCTAGCGACTATCTAGACTCAGTAGCTAAGTGGATAAAGCGATGGTAATTGAAGCCAACGGTACTGAGTTTGAGTCCCGGAATGGACATCAATTCTGGGGTGCGGGTAAATTCATCTGAAGAGTCCTAGATAGAATGAAACACGCACTCTAGATTTCACTGCTAGCCACCATTCATCTCAACTTATAACCACTAACTAATGATGACGATAAGTGCGCAGACCTTGGTCAGGTAGTTTGCATTTAAACGGTTCAGTCTAATAGTTAGCGGCTCCATGAACTGAAACCACGTTTTAGTTAAGCATCTAGCTTTCTTTCCACCTACTCCTACACCAGCCATCATTGTGCGTCGAGGTTCGAAGTGGTTGACTATGTTTTATACATATCTTATCAGCTATCTATATGTTCATAATACATGTAGCGAGCCAACTGCTTGGTCTAAGAATATAAGTTAAGATTTTAAACGGTTCATGCAAAACTAATGTTTTTTTATGAACTACTAAATACCATGGTGTTAGGATAATGATGTTTAACGAGATCTGAAGTAATTTAAGAATTAACAAAGTACAAATGTCACCAACAAAAAGATTATAGTCCGACAAAGTTTTCACACAATCCGTCGGTCATGAGCCACAACGAGAAGCGCTATTATATTTGTCCTACACTTTTATACAATTTACGCCTACAATGTTACTGATGTAAGTCTCGTATAAGGTGTATTAATTGACTAAACAAAGGTTAAGAAATATGACTAACGTAAGATTTATGATTAATGGCTGCCTGACTTTTAGTCATAGGTGCTATTTGAATCATTGTATTTATTTAATACTACAGTAAAACAGAAGGTATTATTTTACCAAAATGCTATGAAGTCTATTGACGCTGTAAAGTTTTAGACATTCTGCATTCTCAAAAGTTAACTCATAATCCTTTCTTCTATACAAGTACAGCAACTCGGTGGCCACAAAATGGCTAACGCGCTTACGACCTGCTAACACTGATTCAACATAAAATTATATACCTACTAATTATCGATTGAATATTGTTATAGTAATGCCTATTATTTGATGACCCTACTGAGTGCTTGTTACTGCCAGACTAGAACTTCACACTTAAGACTGAAACTATACGACGATAAGTCCATAAGCTAACTCCTGTAGTTCAACATACGATTATCAGTAGCAACTATGTTACTTTGATAAGTAATAAGTATTTGAGACTTGCGTACGCAAGTACCGAGTGCGGCGTAGAGAAATGCTGAAACTGATTAAACATGGTAAATTTGTGACAAGTTTTCTGACAAGATTCCGAAACCAGGATGATATATGTAACATGTTAGCAAACAATCAACGATATATATATAAACATTAGTATACTAATGTTTATATTGGGTTTCATTGTGTTCGAGTTAGCAACTTTGGTGTAAATTTGAGAATCTTTCATAAAATCACCACAAAAATACTATTTTTCAGCTTGTCATAACGATAATGGTCACGAATAATGATGTCGTACATTAGTAACTAGTAAATATTTAAGTTGACTTTATCAGATATTTCGCATACGTCTTAGTCTATATCAAAATGAAAATGTCACACAGGTGCCTCTTAAACTATATTCACATATAATATCTAACTTTTTACTGATACTCAATTCAAATGAAAGATGATCACACCAACTCACATCAGAAACGAAAACCAGAAAACTGAGCATCAAAACCAGCGCTTAAAAAATCCCATCCTGTGTCAAGGGTACAATTAACCATCGACGATGAAGATTTGGTTTTACGAAATAAATGACAAAAGCGTGATCTGCTTATAATTAAAGATTATTTATTATTCATTACAAAGTAAATTGTTTTAATCAGTAATAAATTTTCGATTTCCAATCTGACATCGCGAAAGTCCCGTACTTCTTCTTGAGGAAGTAGTCATCATTCTACAAGGACAAACAATTATGACAATTATGTCCCTTAGTTCCATAGAAAATATGGAAATAAAGCCAGGCAGTGTGTTACGTCTTGCAAACTTCTTGAGTCACTTTCCTTGTTGGGAAGCTCACTGACCAGGTAAATGGAGACAACTGCTACTGGTCGTGCTCTTAGCTGCCTCTTCTACGTCCGGGACAAGACCACTGTACAAATTTCCAGTAGACACTGAAACCGAAACTTTTATTATTTTAATTTTCTTAGCCGAAAGGCCGAATGCCAAATATGGAAACTAATCCTTGAGTCCATCTAATAAAAGTGGAACAAAGATGCTTGGAGAACAACTCTTGATATTGGACTTGTGAATAACACGTCGTTTAAGCTAGGTGTTTATTATTGCTTATGTCCGTCACCATAAATTATGTCCAGACCTCTTAAGCTATTACAACATAGTTGATGTTAAGGAACGAAAACTAATTGATTCCTGTAAGTATTGCTACCAAGGTTTGACTTGATAATTTCAAATAAATTGAGCATTGTGTAGATTGTCATAAACAAATTAATACGTTTGTAATATACAAATGAGTAGAAAAATAAATGTTAACTTGATTCTTTATTTTTTAAAAAATTGAGTCACGAAAAGTCAAAAATTTGATTTTTCTACTCACTGGAATGTTACAAATTTCTTAATTTATTTATAATCGGTTCATGTTCGAAACTTCAAGTCCTGAGAGTTCAGTCACACTATCACATACACAGTATTAAAATCAGCACATCATTAAACTATATCTTTGCCAATATTATATTCAAATTTTCCAATATATATATATATATATATATATATATATATATATATATATATATATAATCTAACATTCGGTAGTACAACATTGCTAAAGGTACACATCAGTCACAATCAGACAAGCTTTCTATTGCGAAACCTAATTTCAGCACGTTATGCAACTGGAAATAATACATCCCGCCAGTAGCCTCTGAACATTCTCACTTCACATGGTGCCTAGAAAGATGGACACTTGCTGTTGAATGACTTAATGATGCCTGATCACTTTCCTATTCCTCGTTTGCACTATTTTTTCATTAACGTTGCATGGAGAACAAAATATTTCTTGCATCATAATATCTTATGCGGGCGTGTCGCTAAATTTGAGCAGCATCCTATTGATTTGTTCCAATCCATAAGAATGACATTCGGATTAAAGTCTACATATAAATTTAAACGATCACACCTGCGAAGGCAAGCCACGCCACTCGAATAACTCTAACTAATCGAATAATTTCTTCCCACCTACTCAATCGTCGAAGTTTTTCCGCGATTGTTGGGATGATCCAGAAAAATTCTCGCAAAAGACACACAAGAATCAGGAAACATTAAGAAGCATTTCATTCAATCAGCGTTCACTTGAAGTTTAGCCAGAAAACATCAAGGGTGTGAAACGTCACATGTGGAGGTTCTGATTGGCTGATTGTTATACCGCTGCTATGTTTAGTAGCATTCCAGAATCTTCGAGCGACGCAAGGACATTTGGAATATTATAAAAACCCTATGTTCTCTGTATTAGAATGAACCTTGAAGTAAAGTACTTTTTCGCATATTTGCGCCTTCTCTCTCGTGTTCAGGTCGCTGTATAGTTCTAGCTTGGAGGTTTCAAGAATAGCTTAGGAATCGAGTATAGCGTTCAAAATCGCAACACTTATCAGTGGCGACGGGGATGACTACAATGAATATTTCTTTGGAGCAGCTAGAAGCTTATATGGTGCGTCAAGAAAAGAGGTTTGAACAATCGCAAATCAGAATAATGGAAGCTTTGATGCAGAAATTGTGCCTGTCCCAACAAATCCCTGCTTCTGGTGAATCACAAATATCTCATACTGATTCAATCATAAATGCCATACATGAATTTAATTTTGATGGTGCAGCAGGTGTAACTTTTGATTCCTGGTTTAAGAAGCATGAAGATTTATTTTATATTGATCTCTGCAAACTTGATGACGCTTCAAAAGTCAGAATACTTTTAAGAAAACTTGGGACTATGGAACATGAACGCTATAGCAACTTCATTCTTCCGAAGAATCCACGGGACTTTAGTTTTGATGAAACAGTTAAAACCCTGTCTCAAATCTTTGGAGAACAATCATCTCTATTTAATATCCGTTATCAATGCTTGAAGATAACGAAAGAACCAGGAGATGACTGGGTGAAACATGCAGGAATGGTGAACCGAGAATGTGAGAGGTTCAAATTGTCTTCTATGACTGAAGACCAGTTTAAATGTCTAGTGTTTGTCTGTAGCCTGCATCCACCCGAGGATGCTGACATCCGAACAAGGATCCTAAGCAAACTCGAACATTGTCCCAACATGACCCTGCAAGAAGTAGTGACTGAATGTCAAAGGTTAGTGAATTTAAAGCATGATACCTCGTTGGTAGAGAACGGTGACCGGTTCCTTCATGTCCATGCAGTCGAGAGAAAAATGTCACAAGGTTCCAGCACGCAGAATGATCGTAATCACAACGACAAACCATCATCTCCATGCTGGTTATGTGGCGGTTGGCATTTCAAAATGTTTTGTCCGTTTAAAAATCATCGTTGCACTATGTGTTCCAGAAATGAGCACAAAGAAAGTCATTGCGAAACCCGAAAACGCCGTCAACAGATAGTGCATTCAAAAAGATTCAAGCCACAAACAGCTAAAGTAACAGCAGCTCTTCTCCAAGCCGACTCCCATCACCGTAGAAAGTATGTTTCTCTCAAAATTAATGGGTATGATGCCCACTTACAACTAGACACAGCCTTCAATATAACACTTATAAGCAGGAGAACATGGGAGTAAATTGGGAGACCGAGAATATATCCAACTCTTCAATCAGCACATAGTGCATCTGGGGGAATTCTAAACATTGCTGGGGAAATTCATTGTGAAGTCACGGTCAAAGAGTTTAAGGAGAAGGGCGTAATAATTCTGACAGACCGTCCATCACTCGACTTAATGGGGCTCGATTGGATAGAAAAGTTGAAGTTAACAGACCACCCCGTAGACTCGATCTGCAACAATGTCAGTACGTCGAAATTTGAGGACATATTCAAAAGAGCACTACTGAAAGGGGAAGGAGAGGGGACAAGTCAGCTTAACCCTATTGTCCCAGATGGAAAATCCTTTGCTGAAGCGATGTTCGGAAGAAGCATCCGAACTACATTCGACGTCATGTTACCACCTAAACAAATGGATGGACACAAACAAAATCAGAATATCCATAGTTTTAATGTCGGTGATAAAGTACTCGTCAAATCATACGTCGGGAAAAATCGCTGGGAACCGGGAGACATTGAGAAGAGAATGGGGAATGTTTTATACAAAGTGCGTGGGACTTTCGGAATATGTAATGAACACATTAGCCAAATACGCAGAGAGAAAAGGACTCTAGACACGGAAGATAGTCAAGTGAGGCTTCCGCTAGATCTAATTACAGATACTCCAATCACAGGAACCCCAACAGACACTCATAAACTCTGGATACCAAGAAATTCCAAACGCCGCGAAAAAACCAGCAATCAAGCAACAAGTAGATCCGAAGAAGAGATCTTATTTTTTGAAAGAGTAGAGGTGTTGGGATGATCCAGAAAAATTCTCGCAAAAGACACACAAGAATCAGGAAACATTAAGAAGCATTTCATTCAATCAACGTTCACTTGAAGTTTAGCCAGAAAACATCAAGGATATGAAACGTCACATGTGGAGGTTCTGATTGGCTGATTGTTATACCGCTGCTATGTTTAGTAGCATTCCAGAATCTTCGAGCGACGCAAGGACATTTGGAATATTATAAAAACCCTATGTTCTCTGCAGCTAACTTGTATGCACGATCAGCCGGTAGGTATGAATATAAATAGTCTATGGCAAATCAGGACATTCAGCCTAGAGCGTGTCTCTTACGAATACACTCATGTTTAACTAATTCTTCTTACCTATCTGTCCAAAATTCACATGATTATCACTTTTCACTTATTAAATGTTTTCATAAACATTTATATGTATTAGTAGTATTACTAAATTCTATCACGGTCAAGTAAAAATGAGGTCGAGCAAATCTCCCGGTAACTAAATGAACCGTATCAAGCTAACCGGAACACTAGTTGAAATTCTTCCCCAAGGTAATACTTTTGTTCTATCAGTTAGCCTACTAATGAAGATGCAATTGGAAATCAACTCATACGGACAGCTAACCGGCATAAACGTCATGTGACTTCACAATTATAACCATAACTAATACCAATATTACCATTTCTACAATATTGACTGTTTTTAATATTTCTAAACGCGAAATTGTATTAACCTGCGGCTATTACAACGTATTTTACGGTGATTTATTGAAATATCTATATACGAAATCGTTCTTAATTTTTTGTTCCACTTTGTTCAACTCCAACATAATATTCAAATAGAATTCTGTTTTTTTGCATTTTAAGAATAAAACCAAACATTTTAAAATTACTCACACAGCCTACAATTTAGGAGATTGAACAAATTTTATCATTTCAATGTGACTTGCAAAATATCCCTATACTAAGTCGTCCTTTATTGTAATAATCCCGCCATGTTTGACGTATAAATAATGTTTGTATGGCTTTTCATTTTAAGCGTGTTAAGCATTAAAACAGATATCTTGAATTTATTACATGTATTTCACGATATGCTGCTGCCGCATTTCCTTTTGATTTATCTTTCAGTTTATCAATAACCGGAGGATTCTTTTTATCCTTGGTAACTTCCGGTGCGCGACAATCCTACCCAATTTCGTATCAAACCTACGTCACGTTGATTCTGATGGGAGAGCGGTTTAGTGGCACAGGGTCCTAATCACACAATCCTCAAAGCTGAACACGAGACAACTGGGAAAATAGATATTCAACATTTAACGCGAAGTTGAACCTAATGTTGTGGCAGATACGCTGTGATGACCGAAAGTGGAAGGAATTTATTTACTGCACGTTTACATGCTGACAATCCCGATCTCGCTACATGTAAACAGAATTTAAGTTAAATGTTAAAATATACTCCATTACTACACTTCGGCTCTACCATATTATGTGACAACTCGAATGGAATCCACAGACCATTTGTACCAGTGATCTACAAGACAAAGTCTTCTGAATGTTTTCACACATTACATCATCCAGAAATCCATGCTTTGTTTGGCCAAACATTAACTCAAATATAGAGCACTTGGCTAGAAATTCTTAGCAATGTCAGCACAGTAAATTCTACACTGTCAACATTCTTTCAACCCAAAGATCATCTTCAACATTGTCATGTCGATTTGGTTGACTTTCTGGATCCATCCACTGTTTTTATTTTTTTCATAGTAGTGGGCTGTTTTACGCCCGGGTAAAGGCGTCTCAACACAAATTGTTGCTGGAGGTCGATATGTAGTTTTCATGTATCTTCTACTGTCGCTTTCGGCAAGAAGTCACGGTTCAAATCGCACCTCTTTAGTGAATTTGCATGCATTTCCGGTGTTCATCGCATTACTACGTCAGTATACCATCTGGCAGCAAATGGACTAGTGAATTCCAAAGACAACTGATAAGCTCTCTTACTGTACAGTCCGACGTTGTTACAAATTGCGCTGATTGATTTGGCTGACCGAATACATCTGTGTAATGTCAAAACATAACAACTCAAGTATTCATTTACTTTCTTGTTTTGTGTAGCCACTATATCTTCTATTATTTTATGCTGAATGTGGAAGACTTTGTGTATTTAAAAACGGACCTCGTTCTGAAAATGTTGTGTTCCCCGATCTAAATGAAGAAATATTCGACCACTAGTCTGATTTCTTCTGTAGATAAAAAGAGAGGTATCTGTTAGCACGATAATACAAACCATCAAATGCCTCTCTAGCAACGTAAAAGGACTCGGGGCTAAGCTAGAAGTTGTCAAAAACATGTGCATATATTGAGATATGATGACCAGATCGCATTTGAAACATAGCCGTTGTCTGATATCGTGGATGAAGAAGTGAGCTTGCAAGACACGACAACTTCCAGACACGTCAATTTAAACAAAGCAGGATTGGAGGTGCTGATACACATCAACAACCACTTGAGAGCCGTACCAGGCTGTACTGAACTCATCGAGGTGACAGAATCATGATGGTGTTACTTCAATACGAACGGCACAAAGTACCAGCCCATCACAGAATCTAACACCCAAAAATGTTGGATGATTCAGGTGATACTGAAGCTGCTATATCTGGGGTTTGACCCAATACTAGCCGAAGATTTCGATACCCTGTAGGGGCGAGTACTATGTCAATCACACATCAGGTTATTCTAGCCTCTGGGCAGATCAATCTATAAATTCTTCTAAAGCCACATTTTACCCTGTCACATACTCGCTTATTAGTCCTGATTTTCTTATATGGTCGTATGTGTGCTACTTACTTACCTTACTCATCACGTCAGTAACTTATTTTTGTCTGACTATAAATGTCGATTCACGTTTGTTTGAATTCAGTTGGCTCACCTGCGCGTCATTTTGTTTTGCTTCACTTTCCGATCAACGATTATACAAAATACACGTATTCAAAACTTCATTCTAATATTTGACTCCCTTACTTTCGTAATTCGCCAATGCGAGTTAAGTGGATAATTATATACGAGGATTGATGACATGTGTATTCCGATAACAAGCACCAAACGATGTACCCGGAGCCAGACTTCGGGCTACAAATACTTCATCACTAAATCTCAGCAGGCAGGAAACAACTCCTACGTTCTGATTTCATGGGTGGCTCCTCACAACGGTCATAATTTCAGGACAGGCTGAACATATGCATGCCGTCATGACAGGGACAGAAAATCCCAAGATACAGAACATTTACTGACAATCGAACAGCTTCCAGTTAAAGATATCCATGTCTACTCACCAACCTGAAGTAGCAACCATGAGCCCTACTTCAGCCACACTAGAGTAGATGAAATCAAAATAGGAGGGCATCTTCGACACACCACATGGTCACGAGAATAGCGAGAACCAACGGTAGATGATCACTGAAAAGTAGTGAAGAGTATCTTTAGGAACTCTATCTCATATAAAGTACCTCAAGATAAAAACAAAACCGAAAAGAGGTATGCGTTAAGCAAAGCTCGGAATGATCTCTGAAGGACAGATGGAGAGGCCAGAACAGGTAGAAAGACTCCCTGAAGGATTTCGATCATCGTTCACTAAGTAACGGCTTGAGTATCATGTATCTTTATAAATATCTGGGTTTTTACCTGGTTGCATTGATGATCCACTGCCATTAGATACAGAAGCTTGCTAAGCATAAACTTCTCTCCTGACCCAAACCATTTGAAATCATGTGATGTGATCTTATAATAGGATACAACATACTAAGTACGCCAACACCATGACATCAACATGCTCATAGAGTTAACCCACGAAAAATTGAACATCAAAGAGCGAGCATTCAGGCACGCTCACACTTTTTCTCATGGAGAGCCGCTTCCACCTGAAATGTTCTCCCAAAACAAGTGACCACAGTTTCGTCGTTGGATGGATCGAAGTGTGGACTTCACGAATGGACACTCACCAGCGGAATACCATATATCTCCTGAGTCAGCTGTCTGATGCATGTCACACAAATTAACACGGTTATCATTACCACATATCAGTAACAACTCCCTGACTGCTTCCTCTTATTCATTCATTTGCGTCTCCTTACACATTACCAATTAATTAACTTGGTTATTTATTCCTGGGACAATCATTTTCTCTTAGCACCCGAGTCATCAATGGATTATACTCACATTGCAACTAACCAACTTCCTGCCTGATGATATGATAGCTGCTGGTATCCAGAATCCCTACTGCTCTGAGACAAACTTACTCACTAAAATATGAGATACATAAACCCACAAGTAACTACCACAACGACTAGAATTAGTGCAGCCGAATGGCCACACTACCATACATTGGACATTACCAAATACCTGAAACCGTATCGAAACAACAAGAAACAAGTTCAAAGAAATCAGTTGGTTTATACAAGCTCAAGACAAGGATATTGGATATAGTTGGACCTGGTAAAGTTGACTTGTGCGGTACAGTTTAGTAGTGTAACTGTCCTAACGTCTATTGAGCTTAACTTCCTCGTAATTGTGTTCCTTTTTCACTGCACACAGGATTTCCTAATAAAAGATCATGATAAAATAAACCTACTTCGTGATAAGTGCTATTGCGTTTCTATGGGTTTACAATACAAATTCAACATTCTCATATTGTTAAAGTAGGTTTTTCTCCAATACTCTCCTAAGACATCATTTTCCGGGACATTTTTAAAACTCACTGGTTGTAAGTGCCAACGAATTTTTTCAGTGCTTTTGGTGAATGTCCTCACTTTAACCGGGTTAGTGGATATGGAGGATCCACCTAGGGGAGTTGGAAAACTGATTCCAAACCAATGGTCACATAGGTTCCAGGGTCCTGAGGGAAAAAACGGCGTATAGACCTATTTTTGGTTGTTGATCTCAGCCCTCACATAAATCAGATGATTTGTACGGTGCATATATATTTGGTTCCTCCTTGTATCGATTTTTGTGTTTAGATAAGTAAATAATAGTTCTACCTAAAGTCTCGTCAGTTGTAGGTTAGATTAATACATGAAACTGTGACTGGTTAGTGGATAGTATTGAGTCATGTTATTTATATCATAGAACATGGATTACTCTTCTTTTCTGATATTTTTCTTTCTATTTCTTTCCATTTAGCCTAAAAATCGGATTTGTCTACAATAATTGCCTTTACTAATTAATACGTCTATTATTGTGAGACTGTGGAGTAAACATCTGAGTTTGTTTCTTTGTATGGGCTCAAAGTCAAAAGCTCATGGAAATCGTAAAAAGTCCAAAAAGAATAATGTTCAATTAGAAGCTCAACAGGATCGAGTGTCTAAAGTATGCTGTAAAGGAAATGATGAAAATGATTATTATCTGAAAAATGATCCATCAGCGCCGGAATTCCGTCAACAATTAAATCAACTTGGTTTAGATTTCCGGGAGGTACCATCAGATGGAAATTGTTTATTTTCATCGTTATCTGATCAATTATATGGAACAATAATTAATCATAAAGAAGTTCGTGAACAAGCTGTACTTTATATAGAAAAACATAAAGAAGAATTTGAGGCATTTTTCGATGTCAAAGATAGACTAAATAAACTTCGATCACTTGGAACTTACGGTGGTCACGAGTGTATCATTGCAATATCACGGTGTTTTTCTGTATATATTATTATACATCAACTGAAACAAAAACCTTGGCTAGCCGGAACTCCTGTTATCGACAAAACACATGTCAACGTTTCTACCTACCCTCAATTACATTTAGCTTATCATAATGGTGAACATTATTCAAGCGTACGAGTTTTCGGAGATAATTCCAGTAACCCTACAAGAATAAGGATTTGTCTTTCAACTGATAATTCTACTACATATGCAAGCAATACATGTGATAGGAAATGTGTGGACTACTCTTCTGATGGCTCGGATGATAAAAGCTCTATTCATTCGTGTAAAAATTGTGATGGAAGGTCGAATAAAATTGCTAACTGTAATACAGACTACTTCCAAACATTTCCATTTCACAGAAAATTAAGTAAAAAAGAAAAACGTCAACTTAAACGTAGATCTCTTGAATTGTCTAACTCGGAATTTGTTATTAAATCTATTTCCGCTCTACATATATAATTTATAACCGATTGTCACTCCTTTTTCTCTTATCACAACGACTTTTCTACTTCTTATTTCATACTGGATAAGAAATTGTATATTTGAGATTTTCGTATTTTTTTCTCTCGATTATCGAACTATATTTATTAATTTTGTATTTTACGACTATGTAGTTTTCACGAATATAGGATTGCAGTGTACTTATTCCAGATTACATTCTTTTTTACTACTGAATTTTTTTTTTGAAAATTGCCCTGAGTGTTTGGGAATTGAAGTGCTACTAAGAATCACTTTTGAACAGCCATATTATAAAGCCATTAAAAAGAAAGATATGGTCTGAAAATTCTCAGCTTTTGAAATTAAAAATAACTCTAGTGTTCCGCTGGGAAGTGTGGTCTGAGCGGGTGAAATTACAAGAGTCCTATTAAGTAATGTAGACACTTTTATTACGTAGTTCACAGTTGTGATGCTTTTATTTCTGCATTTTCATATTTCACGAAGTTTTTGCTACCATTCTCGCTCTCAGCATTATCCAGCATATTTATTGTTATGGTTCATTAGTCAATAAAGAGACTTTTTGAAATATTGGAATAATTTAACTACTACATACTATTTATATAGTTTGCATATTTCTATCATTACTTTTTTACTTGAGCAGTGACGCAAATCCATTCACCCTTTGTCTTCCCGTAGTTATCATTTCGAAATTATCTTATACTTTTTATTCTGCGAATTCATTCCTTCCCTTCGGATCATATTTTTTGTATTTGGTATTTTCCAATGCTACTGGAACTATTACCACTTTTAGTACTCTAGCACGTCTTGATAATTTCATTGTGCTGCGGTGATATGGCGTGGCAACTTGAATTGATACACATGTGTTCTAGGTTCTACGTTGTGTATGACTGACTGATAAAGGTTTAAAAACATTTAAACTAGTTTAACAGTATAATAACTACACATTATATTTAGTGATGCAAGCTTTTTATGGTAGGCTAGAATTATAATAGTATTTGATTATTTAAAATACTAAGAACACGAAGTTTAGCGAAGGGATCTCTTTTCAACGAACTTATTATCCTCACGGAATTAGTACTTTAACAAGAAAAAATTTCATATATATACGATTGTATAGCTTGATAATAAATTCGTTGTAAAAAGATCTCTTCTCTGAACTTCGTGTTTTTAATTTTTAATATTTAAAATATATTAAGTAAAATAAAAATTAGTGTTCAAAGGTTATGGGTTGACGGTTTAAACTAATGTGCTTTCAACTATTCATGGTTTCTCTTAAGGTACTAGAAAATCTTCCACTGGATTTTTCACTATATTTCGTATGCAATTTTGTATGTGCTTAAATTAAATGAGTTCCGTTTAGTTCCATAAAAAAGAGTTTATAAATAGTAAATTGGTTTAACTTATAAAAGCTTTATGGGAGCTCGTTTTGCAAGGTTCGTATACAATTAATGTTTGTTGGTCACCTTTCAATATCTGTCACCCATTAAGTTTTTTTTATTTCCAACATATTGTGTTTTTACTTATGATATAGATTAAATTACTTAATATAGAGTTTTAGTGTCAAAACATTTAAATAAATATGAAAAAATAATGGGATGATGATCCAATGATTATACGCTTCATATAAAATTATAACCTCAAATACCGTTTATAAGTCATTATTCAATACTTGAATTTATTGTAATACATTCAGTTATAATGGTATAAATGGGGACAAATGGCCCTAAAGTTTATTTTAAAGTAAACCGAAAACACTTGTGAAGATATAAAACAAGAAATTGATGTTTTTGGTAGTGCTCTAAATAATAGTTGTCCCACCCTATGTAACTCGATTGGGTCATCACGGTAGGAATGCTTGACCATCTCGTTAGGGTAGCATCTGTGGTCGGAAGTGTGTATTAATAAGAAGGTATACCGGGATGATCATTGCCTCATAAGTCGGAACCCTCGTCTTTCCCCTCGGTAGCTCCACAACTGATATATATATATATATATATATATATATATATATATATATATATATATATATATATATATAGTTATCTCAGTTGAAAGTAAAATACACAGAACTGAATTGAGACTTGGTTAATATTTCTAATTTCTTTCCAAATCTATTTCACTGAACTATACTCCTTAAATAACATCATCACACCTTAATGTTCCCTGTCACTACTTATACTTTCACTACCTCTACCACTACGGGATTTGAATCGACAACTGAATCTCTGTGCTAATGTGGTATGGCAACTCGAACTGATGTACGTACGTACGAAGTTCCACGTTGTTTCTGACTGACTGACTAGTATTTCTAAGTAGTACCGAAATGACATACTCCAATGTCAGCAAAAAAACATGCGAGACATAATCCCACATGAAATAAAGAAACGTAAAAGATTTATGTGCAAAGCATCTGGAAACATAGAGATATGATACTCCGCGTTTAGAGGAATACGTATAAGGAATGTTTCTTTTGCTAACGCTTAGTTTTAAGATACTGATTTTTTTATTTTTAGAATCTTATTAAGGAAATACAATGTTTCTTGTTTGTTATTTAGATAATCAGATTGATATTCTTTAATATCTATACTTTTTTTAATTAAACCACTACTTCACAGTTCTCAACCAACTAAAAATGAAAAATAATTTGTTAGAAATAACCATATCATGTATGTTTAAATGTACTGTTTTTACTGACTTTTCTGTTTTCAACAATTAGATTTTTGTATATCCTGTACGAAAAAAATACAAAATTAGATACTCATTTATGAGTGAGGGATGGGTAACCAACTCACTGGATTATCACCTTCACCAGTTGTTGAAGATTATTTATCTGAATTATCCGGCCTAGTTGTATTTGAAGAAGAACTTTGCGGTTCTAGATTGTTTAAAGTGGCTAAAATCAGGTTAGTGTTTATTTGCCTTCGCTTATTTGAAGTTACGTTGGTAATATTTTGTAAAGGTTTATTTCTTATTTAAAAGTGTTACTGTAATCTTGATTGATGCTTATCTTTCATTTTTTCATCCGTAATCACTAAAATAACTATGGTCGGATGGATAAAATGTAGTTTTTTTTAGAAAAAGCCTAGACACCAGTTCATCAAATCAATGACTTCTGTAATTGTATGTTTCTTGCTTGGAACATACAAGATAGCAAAAACTTGAGTTGAAAACTAAATTCAACACAGCATAAAGTACTCATGTCAACTAATCAGTAATGAAACACTAAATACTTCAAGTCCATTCAATTCACACTGATAGCATTCCGTACCAACATCTAATTAATTGATTAATTTATACTCTAGTTTTTTTTCGCTTCCATTTTGTCGTTCGCTCTATAAGCAAAAGTGTTCGCTGTCTGATTTCCCCGTTCGTTCAGTATAATGTGAAACTGAGAATCCTTCGTTATTTTGAATCTTTAGTGTTCCAATTCACATTCCATACATATGTCAGTTTATATAGTAGTATTTCTTTACAACTGACAGAAGCGTGTTCTTACATTTAACATTCGTTGTGAACCCTTGAAAATAACCAAACAATTCTTGTATCTGGATGAGGCTTATGACTACTTTTGGCGGTAATGTGATTTACACATAGTGAAGGCCAGAATTATTCATTCTTATATGCCCTATTTTTGAAATCACTGTAACAGTAGTTTGATTGTTAGAGGTCCGGTATACAACGCGTCGGCGAAAGTTGTTATAATATAGGTTTGTAAAATTTAACCCTCCCTTCCTTGAACTAAGAATATTGAACAACATTGTATTCAATCATCTCTGTCTCCAAAGCATTACTCACACTCGATAGCAATATCGTGTAAGTAATACTGATATCTGTCAATGTATTTTTGGACTCAATTATGACAACGCAATTTTTGTTATTATCTTGGAACATCGGTGTCGTTACCTCGTACGTGTTCTATAAGTGTTATCTTAGTGGCTTCTTCATTGGTCATTATTTAGTCATGTAACTAGATGAGAAAAGTATCTCACAGTACCAGGGTTTTGGTTTTTATAAATGAGAATTGCTTACAGTCTGCTCTATGAGTTTGGAATTGATTGTTGAATTTAAACTCCGCTTGTAGCTCTTCTAGGGCTACCGCGGTCCCAAGTCCAGGTAAAGGAGGAGGGTTGGGCGTGTGGTCGGCAACCCCAACCCGTAGAAAACAACCTTGCTAAAAGACGCTAACTAGAGTAAACAAATCAAATCATTCAAACTCTGCCCTGGGGATTAAAGAAATATGATGAAGGCCTAGACTTTTCGGAAGTCACGAGGCCGATGCCGCTTCTAACAATCAGAGTAACGATTTTTATGGGTATATGAAACGTCCGGACAACGTGGGAGACCGGGAGGCCCAATCAAATAACAATGGAAACGAGGATATACAACTTGTCGGTTCTCGAAATCAGTGAAACCCATTAGACCCAAGCTGGACAGAAAATGTTAGGTACGAAAGAGATGCTTCTGTACTCCGTTCACGAAGAGGAAAATGCTCCAGCCACTCACGGAGATGCTCTGATGTTCAAAGAAGCACAAAATACACTAATAGGATGGGAATCTCAAGGATTTAGGATCATTAAAACATCCCTTAAACAAAGGAGGGAATTACTATGAATTTTGTCCAATGTTATGCAGCCACCAATGATAGCAATAACATCAATATAAAACAGTTTTGCGAGAGGCTGTAATCAATCATAGCGAAGTGACCGAAAAAAACCCTGACCATCCTAATTGGAGACCAGGACGCTAAGGTTGGAATGAACAACACCGGATATGAAGATATCATGTGATGACATGGAATGGGAGAAAGGAACGAGAATAGTGACAGATTTGCAAATTTATGTGCATTCAACAAAATGGTTATAGGCGTCACAATATTCCCCCACGAACGCATGCACAAACCTACATGGATGTCACTGAACCACACTACGGAGAACCAGACAGATCATATATGCGTCAGTAAAAAATTCACAAGGTCAGTGGAAGATGTGAGAACCAGGAGAGGATTTGACATAGCTTCAGGTCATCAACTGGTGGTCAGCAGGATGAAACTGAAGCTAAAGAAGCAATAAACAATTAGAGAAACAGCAATTAATAAAGGTTCAATACAGACTTCCATCGACATACTGGCACATTGAACGAGTTCTAAGCCTTACAGGATCTACTGAAAGAAGAATAAACTACTATAAAGGATAACTGGGAATGGATCAAAGAAGCAC